GATTAGCTTAGAACTTTGTTTTATATCTTCTCTTTGAACAAGATAGAAATTTAGGAGTAACATGGCCTTACAAACCCAACAGTGAGATCTTAAGAGATCCAGCCTCCTTTTTTGCATAGGTTAAAGTTTCAGAAGTAAAACAAAGTAAATAAAAATAATAAAATAAATGATTTTTAAAAAGTTGCACACCTAATCTCTCATGTATAAAAAAAAAATCACGTTTGTATTTGTGTGACATTTAATTTGAAGCTCAATTATCTTACATAGTGGGAAAATAAGTTAAATATAGAAAAATATGAAAATGTAAAAAAAGATACTGCTTAATTAATCTGAAATACGATTTCTGCTGCACAGTGCTTGTGCTTTTCTTTTAATGCAGCTCATAGACAGTACATCAGTATTTATAATTTCTTCTTTCAGTATATCCTCTTTAGCTCAGTCAAACATTCAAAAACTGGCTAAAGCCCAGAGCTACTGTTTCTACATAGAGGCTAGAGAGTTGACCTATTTCTGTCTTTATCTGGGTCCATTCCCTATGTCAAAAACTGTGATGAAGAGGAAAACATGACAGAGACTAACTGAGAAAAAGGAAACCATACCATTGTTTTATATAACATCACATCTGACATAGTTAAAAAATGTGAAATCAGGACAGAGAGATTGTTGCTAAGTAAATACAATAAATTGATACCTTGTATCTAACATTCTTTCCTCATGAACGAAGTAACACAAGGACAATGGACAGTGGCCTTCAAGTAGAGTTGTTATCACTAATTTGCATTCATAACATCTTTTTATTTAATAAAACCAAGATTATGTTCAGCATTAAACAGGGAATATCAAAAGCTCCTTCATTGTCAGATTGTTTTACTAAATGTTGCCATAGGCATCACTTGGCTAAATATAACATAAGTGACTCACCTATTCACCTTGCAACTCTAATAATGCAATTATGCCCAAAGCATAGTGGCCAAGCAGCGGATTCAAACAAAGCTGTTGTTTATGCTTTTTAACCGTGCTAAACATGAAGTAAAATGTGGAAAACTGTGGGTTATAGAAACTGTGGGTTTCTAGAAAAAAATGTTTATTTTCACACTCTCTGAACATAATCATCAAGTGTTATTCTTTCTGAAAGACATTCCCGTGTCCCTTCAGTAGTTCCAACGCTTAACTAGTGTCATTTTTAAATGATATGCCAAACACTGATTTGGTTAATACTGTTTAAAGCTTTCACACCTTTAATCTGTGTCAGTGGTGCCTCACTATTTCAGTCAAACAAAAACTGGCCAAACCCGAAACTAATCTTGTCATAGATGTCAGAGTCATGACCCAGTTCTTCTTGGTTCTGGGTTCATTCCCTATGCCAAAAACTGGGATGCAAGGCAAAATGTGTCACAGAGACAGTTATAGGGGGCTAAACAATGAGAAATGGCAGTGCTTTCCTCTTAAATGGTCCCTGTGTTTTAAATGTGTCAAATTTAGTCGAGAAGAAAATAAAAAATCTCAATCTCTGACTTCATGACAACACAAAATGCTGGCTCCAGCCCTGATTTTCTCGGATTTAGCCCAGTTTAATCACTACCGTATTTTTCGGACCATAAGGCGCGCTGGATTATAAAGCACACCGTCGATGAACGGGTCTGTTTTCATACATAAGGTGCACCGGATTATATGGCGCATTAAGCGAAACAAAATAGCCAGATGAGTCAAACTTTACTCAACTTCTTGCTTCCTCCACTTCTGTACCATTGATTCATTAATGTTGAATTCTCTCGCAGCTGCTCTATTCCCATGTTGTTGCAGTATATTAATGACTAACCTCATATTGTGGATGGATTATCTCAGTCATTCTCCCGACTGAAGTTTGGTCCGTTTACAGCATCCTGCCATGCGATTGCATTTGTCAATAACCAACGAGAACCCTCCCGTTAAATTTTATCAAGTGGAGAAACATTATCATTCACTGTGTTTATGTTATGCTAACATAGCTGTGTCACTAGCGATCACGTAGCACATCATTATATACCAGCTAGTCCAAACTTCAGTAACCCTACAAAAGTCACTGCTGTTTAGTTTTCTGTCTTCATTTATTTTGGAAGTGATAGCAGAGCTGTACGTTTTCATTTTTTCCAGAAATCTCTCAGTCAGAACATGGTATATCATGTTTAAGTGGAAACTAGCATTCTCCTAACTTCTAACTCTGTTTAATTTAACAAATTCTGTTTTCATGGATGCCTGGATGTTAAACTTAATTGTTACACCTAGTAAAGCAGCAACGCTGATCATTTTATTAAAGATGAAAGAATGTAAACAGTTTTTAATTCTCAGTGATGCCGCTGTGTTTGTTTGACTTTGGGACCTGAAGCAGAGTTTGGACCCAGATTACTCCGCGAGGCTCTTGACTACGGTAGCCGTAATGCTCCGACAATCCATCAAGCGGTGGAGCTTCATAGTTTACCAAAACTATTTGTTATTAACTGGCAGTTAATAACAAGTAGACATTTTTCCTGTGAGCACCAGATGATACTCAATATACCAATTTTTTTTGGTAGACTATGTTGACAACTCACCTGCCTTCACATTTAGGTTAATCTACCCCATATGGAAAAGATATATATAAATCTTATAAAGTTTGTATCTGTCTTGTGTGAAACTTGTATGAAAAGCATACAAGAGTGAAAACAGATGTAAGATCGCTTGAAAAATTATATAAATGAAACTTAATAATAATAATAATAATAATGCATTTTATTTTGAGGTCGCCTTTCAGAAACCCAAGGTCACCTTACAAAGAACAAAATTAATAAAAGGAACAATACTCATAAAATACATAAAATAAGTTAAAGTTGCAAAACAGAGCTTGACAACAGATGAAATCAGCACTAAAGCGAATAAACCAGTTTAAACAGATGTGTTTTGAGCTGTGTCTTAAATACGGAAAGGGAGTCAATATTTCTCATGGCTGGAGGTAGAGAGTTTCAGAGCCGGTGAGCAGAGCAACTGAAAGCTCTGTTCCCCATATTAATAAGGCGTCAGTACGGAACAGTAAGATGAATAGCAGATGATGATTAGTGGTGTGCGGATCGATATTGAAATATCGATTATTCCGATACTTTAAAAAGTGCAATACTGTAATTTTCTGCTGCTCATTTCTGTG